CATATCATTTATATGCTCATAATTCCCAAATTTACATTTCCAGTCCAAACTTCTCAGAGAACTAGATTTGCTTTCTTTGGCATCTTAAAAGTAATCTGTCCAGCCCTAACCGGTTTGGCTTAGTGGATAGAGCGTCGGCCTGCGGACTCAAGGGTCCCAGGTTTGATTCCGGTCAAGGGCATGTACCTTGGTTGCGGGCACATCCCCAGTAGGGGGCGTGCAGGAAGCAGCTGATTGATGTTTCTCTCTCATCGATGTTTCTAACTCTCTATCCCTCTCCCTTCCTCTCTGTAAAAAATCAATAAAATATATTTTTAAAAAAGTAATCTGTCCAAATGAAGCATCTTTTTGTTTTACCCCAAATCACTGAATTGTCCAAGAGCTCGAAAACTATAAATCATCTGGGATAATCAACCCGCAGGCAACAATATTTCTACATCAGAAATTTTTCTTGAAATGGAAAACTTTTCTTTATCCCCACTATCACCTGAAGCTATTACTCTGTTCCCCTCACTTCCAACTTTGAGCTCTCACAGCAACCAGAGTTAAAGTTTTAAAAACCTACATCAGATCATGTCACTGTTTTGCTTAAAATCCTTTCATGACTTCCTCTTGTACATATAATTAAGTATGAAGCTCTTATACCCAGGCTTCAAGGCCTGCCATGATCTGACTTACGTTTCTTTCTCCAACTCCATTCTGCCTCACTACTAATTCTTAATTTGCCATTCACAACTGGCTTCCCACCCCCCACCCCCATTTTCTCTAGTCCAAAAATGGGCAAATGATAGCCTGCTATCCTTCTAAAAGAAAGTTTTCTTAGAATACTGCCCTGCCACTCATTATACTAGTATATGGTCTATTGCTGTCATTGTGCTATAACAGGAGAGTCAAGGAGCCCTGACAAAGATGGTTCCGAAAGCTGAAAATATTGACTATCTGGTCCTTTACAGGAAAGAAAAAAATTTTCATAGGCATTCCTTTTGCCTGGAATGCTCTTCAACCCACTTGTCTCCTGAGCACCTTTTTCATTCTTCAAGTCCCAGTTTAAACATCACCACTTCCTCCACGAGCCCTTTCTTGGCCTATGTAGTTGCCCTCATCATTTTTCTTTAACACTCTGTATGCTGTTTTCTCCATTATATTTTGTAACTAAACACTTGTTTATCTGTTCCATGAGTGCAGGGATCAGATGCATTCTATTTACCAATATATTTCCTACACCTAAGTCAGAGCCTGTCAAATAAATACCTTTGAATGTTGAATTCGGTGTTAAGTCTTACAAGAACACATTTGATTTGACAAAATGATCTATAATTTAAAAATTCTTAAAACTGGAAAGTAGCAGAACATTTTTTCTCCAATATAACCATGCTTTTAAAGCTATTTTATTTAGAAAAGAGTTAAAGAAAAATAAACCCTGTGAATTCTGAAAAGGTTTCTTATTTACTAAAATAAGACAAGATTTTTCTTATGGCGAGACACAAAGGCCACATCACACCCTCCGTTTCACTTTGTGGTCTTCAGAAATTCACTGAATTCCTTTGAGTCTCAGTTTCCTCAAAGGGAACATTCTGGTAGAGTTAGAAAGAAAATACTACCAAGAAAGAGAAATTAGCATTTAGCTTTCCCATGCCTGCTTCAATTTTGTGAACTCATTTCCAAAGTCAATCAGATAATTTCATCTCAAAGAAGTGTTCACCCTTCATATGCCCTCTGGTAGTTTATACCATTCTGCTTTATCAAAAATGTTCTTCAAAATGTTCATTATTCTCATCTTGAAATCAGGGTACCAATAAACTACAATAAACCATCCCTGATTCCATGTAAAAATTGTATTTCCATTGCATTTTTCAACATGAAAAGATAGGTTCTGGCTATCTAGGCCGTACCACCAAAACACTAAAAGGTTCACTTCAAAAGAACCTTTAAGCAAACATTCGTTTTGCTTAAAAAAAAAACAACACAAAAAAGCAAAACTACACACACACACACACACACACACACACACACACACACGTTAGGCAGTTCAGCTAACTGCTAAAAGCATAGAGAACAAAAAGCTGATGAACAGATCATGTAATAATGCTTTCAAAACACAAAGGGATATATTTGGTAAGACTGAAGATAGTTACACTGACACCACAGAACCCTAAATCATTCCTTCATCTTCTAGTCAGAAGGTGCAATGATGAGACTGCTGATACTGATTTTCATGCGAACTACTCTTATACACATTTACTTGGAAGCAAGCATTTCTAAAAGTCCCATCTGGTAGAACAAGTGTAAGATTTCCTATATCAGGAGACAAACATTTTGGATTACTATATGATGACCCTGCCTGTCAGTTAACAGACTTCTTTTGGTGTCTCCATACAGTAGTATTTACAGTTAAATCAAAAAAGATAAATGGAAAACACAAAAATGTAAGCACAGATACTAACAGAGTTTCAAAAAGTTAGTCAATTGAAATAAAGAATTAGCTATGCTGAAACTGGTACATTTCTTAGTCAGAAATTGACAGTTTAAGCTGGTCAAATGAGGGCTTGTGAAAAAAAATATTAAAGAACATTTTCAGATGCTGGTGCTCTATCATTAATACCTGTGTAAAAGAAATTAAGAATTTAGCAAATATATTTTTAATTTCTTTAGCACAATCAACTTGAATACATGTTCTCTGGAATATATTGGGAAACTGCCTGTATTTTAAAATGACAGTTAACCTTAATATAGGATCACTTTAAACAACTGAAAAATGCTAAAGCTCCCGCAGTTACCATGGAATTATGTGTTCACATGACTTCAATTTCTACCTAACCATGTGGAGAGTCCAAAAATTAATCATTTAAATACTGACCTCCCATTCTGGCCTTCTCTCCTCACTTTTTGGATAAGCCAATTCTCAATCATAGCACATTAACTACAGATGATTTTTCTGTTTCTGTGCCCAAGCTGCAAAGCACTGCTTAAAATAATATGATGATGATAATAATAATGATGATCACACATTCGATCTATTTTCTACTGAGCTTTTTCCTCACTTGACAATTCCTCCCTATATTCTCCACAAGGGCTAGACCAAGACTCTTCACCTCATTTTCAGATGTATGGCTTAATTATTTTTAGAACTAAAGAATCTCGGAGATATTACTGACAATTCCTTCATTTTAATTATATAAACTAAGACCTAGAATTTAAAGAACTATAGTTTTACAAACATTGAGCCAATTTACTTGAAGCCCCTCATGCAGCCTCAAGGCTAGCATATTTATTACATCTTGATCCATTAACTATGTATACCTCAGGAGCCAATCTACAGAGAAGTCAAGGACTCGGCCTGAAACCACAATGACTGAATGTTTCATCTCGGCCATATACTAGCTACATGCATCTGGACAAATCACCAATCTCTGTGCCTCAGTTTCCTAACTTGCAAAATAGGTATAATAGTACTATCTAGCTCATTGGATTGTGACCATTAACCAAATTAATACTTGTAAAAAGCATTAGAACTGGACCTGGCACATATAGAAATTAAGAATCAATTGTGTTATCATCATTCTCTATAGAACTCTGGCAAATGAGAACATGCCCCTCTCTTCTACCTTTACTTCCCCATTGTTCCCAACTCTCTCCACATCCAAGAACTCAGTTGCTCTAATCTTCTCTCCCTTCAAGAGCTTAAAGCAAAACTCTTCCACTCTATTTTTCTTTTTTTGTTTGATATCAAGCACCTTATATTAGTCTTATTTTCTCATACTTATCTAACCAAAGTTTGCTCTTGAAGACTCATTCCTTGGCTCTGGGATTTTTGTTCTCTGTGATTTCCAACACTTATTCCTCAAGATGTGCTACCAAATGCCAAATCTTGATCTTCAGTTTTGAGCTCCTACCCAAGCTCTAAACCTGTATCTCCAAGCATGATATTTTTACTTGAGAATTTTATTACGATCTCACAATTATCTTCAAATGTAAAATAATTTCTAAGGTGCTTGCCAACTATAAAAATTTCCAATATAATCTAAAACAAAATTTGTCATTTCCTCTACTCATTCCAAATCAGTTTTCCACTATTATTTCACAATATTTCTATTAGTGGCACCATAATTCTCCCAATAACCAAATACCATCTAGTCTTACTTTAGAATTTGACATTATCCATTCATTTCTAGCCTAATGCTTTACTCAGATTTTCCCGGGTTTTCTCCTGCTTCCAGCAAACAACCTCCCAATTCTACATTATATAAATTCCATTTTAATCTTCCTCAAATGTCACATTATTATCTACTTAAAAACATCCAATAAACCTCCACTGTTAAGTTCAAATCCCTTAACTTGGCATTCAAGTTTTTCTCCAGTTGGTTCCCAAACCATTTTTGCAGTACCATAATCCACTAATTCCCATAAATTATTATATACCTCAATCAAACTCTAGTTACCACCTAAGTAAACATGTCTATATAATCACGTTATACCTGCAATCTCTGGAATGCCTTCCACATAGTTCACTTATATCCCAAATTTATCATGGCTCACTTCAATTTGATCCTTCTCATGAAATCTTACAGCCCAGGGTAACTTATTTACCACTGAATTATATAATGCCTCACACTGTTATCTAATGTGTGTATCATCTCTCACATCAGAGTAAAAACAAACCTACGAAGCGTTAGTATCATGTATCTCTTTGCATCCACCGTATTTTCCTAGCAGTCACTTAACAAAAAAACCCCCATTGAATTGCATGAAGAACATATCACCTGCTTTATGAGATACTAGCTACTGCTCATGTAATCCCACTTAAGAGAAAGGACTTGCAGAAGGAATAATAGAAATAAAAAGTGACTATTTTGTAACCACTAGAGTAATAATGATTCATGCAAGAATCATCAATGGATGCTAAACAATCACATGAAAGTTTCTTGGGGAACAGGATATTTATACAGTCTCAAAATATATCTGAACAAATTACTTATGAATTACAAAGGGAAAAAAGGTACCTTTACAGTGGAGAAATCTGGCGGACACCAAGTGATCAAAGTTAACATCACCAATAATGGGATAAACTGACATCATGTGCCTCCTGATGTGATGCACTGAGGACACAACATCACTTATGTATTATTCCTGCCAAAAATGCATAACCTGAAACTAGTCATGAGGAAACAATCAGACAAACCAAAAACTGAGGGACAATCTACAAAACAACTGACCTATAGTCTTCAAAAATGTCAATGTGTTGAAAGACAAAGAAAGGCTGAGAAATTGTGTATGTGATCCTGGATTGGATTCTGGATCAGAAAACTGCAATAAAGGGTATCACTGCTACACAGGGCAAGGGTGAATTTATATGTGGACTGTATCAGATAAAAGTATTATATTAATGTTAAACTGCCTGATTTGGAACATTGTTCTTTGGTTAACTAAGAGAATTTCCTTGTTCTTAGGATAAATATTCTCAAATATTTGAGAGTAAATAAATCTAAAATGTATTCTTTAATTGTTCAGCAATAATATCAGTAATTTGGATAGTAACATGTATCAATAAATGGATTGGCAAAAATGTGGCAAAATATTAATAACAGGTGAATCTACAATGAGATCATTGTACTACTGGTACAACTTCCATTTTCTCAAAAATAAAATTTTAAAAATGAATACCCTAATACCACACAAAAGCTTTTGAGTTTTTATTTATCTGTGGTATTTACATCTTATCTGACAATCTTAAAGCCAGACATACTTGCAGTGGAAGAGTTTGCTTTATAAAAACATATGTTCTAAAAAAACAAATACATCTTTTTGGAACCAAAGAACCATTTGATAATGTTAACAGCCCAACACTATTTTTTTAAAATTCATATTTCTAAAGTAAAACTCAGTTAAAATAAAAAAAAAGTCAGTTTCAAATGGTAAAAAGTCTTAGACAATATAACAATGTAGTTTTAATATTTTCAACTATGCAGAGAAAGTGGAGAAAGCTAATTTTGGTTGATTATGCATTTTAAGGAAAAAATGATGCTCTATAGTTAACATATTAATAAATAAGCATTTGTAAATTACTGAAAGTTTGCTTCCTTAACTATGATTATAGAGAATATTGCTCATAGAACACAAATTTCATCTTCCCTCAATTATCAACAATTCTGATTTAGCTGATTGTAAGTTTTGAGTAAGGTTTTGTAATATAGCCATTATAACTGGTTATTTCTATAGGCTTCCTAGAGCCTTTAAAAACAATACTTCTAGTCATAGTAAAATATAGTATAAAGATTTCCTAGATTCAGTATAATTAGTAACAGTCCTTTAAAGTTGGATACCTTATTTATGAGATGTTCGGTAACAACTTCTCTTAGTCCAGTGTAGAGCTTTTCTCCATGTTTATGCAAAACCATTGTATATGCATTTCTATAGAGCTCCTCAAAACTAAGACCACTGTTATTCTTACGCTGGATTTCTTGAATTGCATTTTTCAGAAGGTCCCAAATGCTGTTTACATATTTTTCATCCATGGTCATCTGTAATATCCAAGAGAGAAAAAGAGACAAAAACAAAAACAAAAACCAATGGTTGAAAATTTGTATTTATCCATACAGTAAATATTTCATTATACGGCTATGATGATAAAGCTGTATGACTTATAAGGATGTTAACAATCTGTTTTAATAGAAATAAAATAAATTTACCGTTTTTAGAGTTGATAGAAACCATTTTTAAAAAATCCTTTAAGACCTCCCTCCCTTATCTGCAGCAGAACCCCTCCATTTAAAATCACAATCTCTGTTATTAATACTTGCTTTAGCAGAAAGTGTGAAACATCTTTCCCCTAAGTTTATTTAGTAAAACACAAGCTCAGAGATTTCCTCTCCTGTAGATTTACAGAGCTCTTTGACAAATTAAAGATTGAGGAAAGACCTGCATTTAAAAACAAAACAAACAGAAAACAAAAATAAAGCCCACATTTTCTGTTTAACTTAGCATATTCTAATTTTCTTCCTTTCCCAGATTAGATTTCATGGTCCATCATTTGTAACTACCTTTTATGTAACATTTGTTTTAAGTCACTTGTCCCTCTCTACCTCCCTCCAAAAACACACCATTATAAGACTCAACTGCCTGCCTACACTGCACCCATGTAGTTGAAAGTAAATGAAGAATAAAACGTATGCTCATATTCAATTCATCTCAGTTTAAATTCATGACCACTAATCACAAATGGGCCCTTAGTTTAACCCCACAATCCTACTTTTCTCTAATCTACTGACCCAAATATCCTAGATGACTTTACCATCTTTTTGGATAATGACTTGCTTCCTGTTTTGAGAAAACAGGAACCTGAAAGGAACTACAAATTCACCATATCCACTAATCTAGTTGACTGCATACCAATATAATTTGTTAGTTCTTGTGCTACTAGCAAATTAGTGCCCAGTTCTTATACTCAAATTATAGCACAGGGACAAAAAACACAGGCAAATTCTAGGAACCTGTTATAAATGGAGAATTTCAGAACCCCAAACCAGACCTAGAGAACCATAACTTGCATTTCAACCCCAGGTGATTCACACACAGAATGAAGTTTAACAAGTACTGCTCTAGTTCCATAACAACTCATCTATTCAAGGACCCCCTTTAGCAATCCTCCTTCCTAGCATTATCAAATGTTTTCTCTTCTTTGCTACATAATTTCCATCTGCATTCAAAATTATCAGTTTCCCATCCTAAAAACAAACAAACAAATCCTCACAACCCCACATATTTCTCCAGCACCACCTAATTTCTCTCTTTTCCATTTACAGCAAAATCACAAGGCAGGGAAGGAGAACAACTCTATGTTGATTGTATCTAAGTCCTATTTTCCCCACTATATCTTGAAGCCCCTCTAGTAAGGATTCCCATTTTCTACCATTTCACTGAAATTACTCTTGAAGAGGTCACCAAGGGTCTTCCACATTGCTAAATTTAATGGTCAAAGTCTCAGTTCTTATCTTACTTGACCTATCTAGCAGCAATTCAAAGAGCTGATCATTCCTACTTGAAACAGATTTCTCACTTGCCTTCCAAGCTATACCATCTTTCTACTCTACTGGTTTGTATTTGTCAGTCTGCTTACCAGTTCTTCATCACAACTGCCAACCCTAAGGCTCAAGTTCTAAGCCTTTTTGTTCATCCACGCTGTTTTTAAAAGGTGAAGTTGATTTCATCTATTCTTATGGCTTAAGTTAACCTCAAAATTTATATATCCTGTTTGGCCCTCTCCCCTAATATCGGTCATATTTTCAGCTTCCTACTCAATGTTTCTACTTGAATGTCTACTAGCAAGTCTAAAACAGAAACCCTAATCTTTCCCCCTAAATCTGCTTCTCATGCAGTCTTCTCCAAATGAGCAAATGTCCAATCCATCCCTACAATTGCCAAAAAGTTTGTAATCCTCATTACACCCTTACCTCACTTTTAATCCAACTGGAAATTCTATTGTCTCTACCTTCAAAATATATCCAGAATCTAAGCCCTCCTAACCACTTCCATTACTACTTGCCTAGTCCAAACCATCATCTCTCAGTTTATTTCAACAGTCTCCTAACTGGTCTCGGTTTCTGCTCTTGGCCTATAATCACAGAGCAACCAGACTGACCTTCTGAAAACATAAAATCAAATCATGTAACTCATCTCATTTTGCTTGGAGTTGGAAGTTCCAACTCTATGCTACAAAGCCTTATTCGAATCTGCTAATCTCTCTGACATGAGCTAGTCCTCCCTTCTTGCTCGCTCTGCTCCAGCCACACCAGCTTCCTTGCTATTCCCTGTATACGTCAAACAAGTTCACTTCAAGGTATCTGCTACTCTCTTTGAAATGTTCTTCCCCTAAATACTTTCATGGCTCATTCATGTATCAACCTCAAAACCCTGCTCAAGTGTCACCTTAAAACGAAGCTTTAACTGCCCACTCTTTTTAAATAGCAGCAGCCTCCTACTAGTGACCCTCAAGTTCCAACCCCACATTCCTGATTTTTCTTGGTCTCCCTCCTCCCAGCCAATGTCAGCTCTATGAAGGCAGGGATATTTTTCACTGCTGAATCTCTCAGCCACTAAAATCAGACCTGGCATTTAAGCTCTTACTAGTATACTTGTTGACTGAATGATTTCCTGCTAATCTTTGGGTAAGGAGCCCTTTTTGTGCCACATGAACTTTACAAATTCTGTATTCACAATCTGGGAAATCCTGCAACAATTACTTATCAGCTTCACACATACTTCTGACCTGAAACAAACAGAAATTACTGAGCTAGAATTTTCTCCAAAGAGGGCAGGAAAAAACAACAACAACACACCAACTATATGAACTATATGCTTACTGTATTTATTTTGGTGATGGTTTCACAGGTGAATACTTACCTCCAAACTCATCAAGTTGCATACATTAAATACGTACAGTTTTTTGTATGTCAATCATACCTCAATAAAGCAGTTTAAAATAAATCCTCTCCAAGCCTCTTCTAATGGGTATGAATGTCAAAGAGAAAGGAGTAGGTAGGCAAAACAGTTCTTTCAGTCATTCTACCATAAAATACCAGCTCAACTATCAATGAAGAGGATTCTTAAGATGATGATTCAAACTGAGTCTTATTATTCTAAACTCTTCTGGAGAGCTTAAAAAGGAACCCTTTAGGAGAACAATGCCTTTCCTTTATTTAAATATGCAAATCCCTCCCTGACCGGTTTGGCTCAGTGGATAGAGTGTCGGCCTGTGGACTCAAGGGTCCCAGGTTCGATTCCAGTCAAGGGCATGTACCTTGGTTGCAGGCACATACCCAGTAGGAGTGTGCAGGAGGCAGCTGATCGATGTTTCTCTCTCATCGATGTTTCTAACTCTCTATCCCTCTCCCTTCCTCTCTGTAAAAAAGTCAATAAAATATATATTTTTTTAAAAAGTATTTAAATATTCAAATCCCAGGTCTATTGACTTTTCTGAAATGGCTTTAATTGAATTTACCCCTACACCTAAACTACTATTTTTTTGGTTAGATATCCTGATACATATAAAATATAAATAAGATGTAGCTATTTAAACTTTTCACAAATAAATGATACAAGC